GTGTGTGTGTGTGTGTGTGTGTGTGTGTGTGTGTGTGTGTGTGTGCAGTCAGACGTTTCATTTCTTGTGGCTATCATAAATATAATGGTGTCATATGAACAGAGGGTGACATCCTGTGGCCAGCTGTGGGCTCTCACCTGTCGTACCAAAAACCACCAACAGGCGGCGGTGTCATTAAAACAGATCAGACTGACTTCCTCTCTTGCCGCCAGTCTTCTTCTTCTCTTCTACCGGGTTAGATTTCCTTTCTCTTCCGGTTGTCGTCTGTTCGTGTGACAGGTATACAGCTTTCCCCACATATGTGGACTTTTAAAATCTTTATCAATCTGAGTGGATTTTACATTCCCGCACAAAAACATCAACAGATTGTGATAAATCACTTTAATGGTCATTTTTCCATCCAACTATGTTTGAAATGTTTTCCTCATTTATGGTGGAATTTTACATTTGTAAAGTGCTAACGCTGCCTGTAGCAAAGCTGCTAGCCACCAGGCAGCAGTTCAACACACAGCCTAAACGTGGCTTATATTTAGTTTTAAATGTGTTTTGTTGGTCTAATGGTCACTTTAACATCAACGTTTGACTGTTACCGTTTTATTATGAAGTTGTCTTCTAACAAGTGCTTCTCTGTTTACATCGTACACCGCTTTCTTGGCTGCCGGCTAACGATTCAAACGTTAGCTAGCATGGACGTGTATGCTAATATTAGTGATTATAAATAAATCAACGTCTGATTTTCCTTTCATCAGGTTAACCAGTGTCGAAATGGCGAAGTCGAAGAATCACACAACCCACAACCAGTGTAAGTATGACTGCTGTCATATTACTCATCAATAACTTTTACATGTGTAAGTTGCTACATTAATAAGAATAATTAGAGGTGAGTATTGAAACAAATGGACCAGCTTTCTCGTGTTAATGGTTTCTTCCCTTGTCTGAACAGCTCGTAAAGCCCACAGGAATGGCATCAAGAAGCCTAGATCTCAGCGCTACGAGTCACTGAAGGGGGTATGTACAGCTACAGGTCTGTGTGGATAGGTGTGTACAGCTACAGGTCTGTGTGGATAGGTGTGTACAGCTACAGGTCTGTGTGGATAGATGGGATGTTGTGCATGTGCACTGAGAAATCAGGTGTGCTTTGTAATATGGTGCTTGCATTGTCTCTGTTTACATGCAGCATGCCAGTAATCAGACTTCTCTTCTAGCCTGATCTTATTTTGGATCCATGGTTTAATCTTTTTTGATATATTAGTGATTCTTCGAGTGTTGATAGCATTCAGACTAGCTTCAAGCTAAGGTCCACTTAACAGACCAGTTGTGGAAACCAGATCAGAATTATGGAGGGTACTCTGTGCCAGTTTTTTTTTTTTTAATTATTATGAATATGATGCATCCCTACTAATAAT